GCTTCCCCGGCCAGCTGAACGCCGACCTGCGCAAGCTGGCGGTCAACATGGTGCCTTTCCCGCGGCTGCACTTCTTCATGCCGGGCTTTGCCCCGCTGACCAGCCGCGGCAGCCAGCAGTACCGCGCCCTGACGGTGCCCGAGCTGACGCAGCAGATGTTCGACTCCAAGAACATGATGGCCGCCTGCGACCCCCGCCACGGCCGCTACCTGACGGTGGCCGCCATCTTCCGGGGCCGCATGTCCATGAAGGAGGTGGACGAGCAGATGCTCAACGTGCAGAACAAGAACAGCAGCTACTTTGTGGAGTGGATCCCCAACAACGTGAAGACGGCCGTCTGCGACATCCCCCCGCGCGGCCTCAAGATGTCGGCCACCTTCATCGGCAACAGCACGGCCATCCAGGAGCTCTTCAAGAGGATCTCGGAGCAGTTCACGGCCATGTTCCGGCGCAAGGCTTTCTTGCACTGGTACACCGGCGAGGGCATGGATGAAATGGAGTTCACGGAGGCCGAGAGCAACATGAATGATCTGGTCTCTGAATACCAGCAATACCAGGATGCCACTGCTGATGAGCAGGGGGAGTTCGAAGAGGAGGGAGAGGAGGATGAGGCGTAAAGTTGAGATGGGTAGGAGTTAAGTATAGTCTGAGCAGGCAAGTATTCATTGAGAGAAGGAATCTGTGCAGTTGTGCTGAAGCATGCATTTTTTAATTTGGTGCTCTCCACTGTTGCTTCTGTCAGCAGTTTTGTATCCTTGACTGTCCAATGTAACAGTAGTTGCAAAATACTTCAGAGTCTTCTGTTGAAATGGTTAACTTCTCAAACATAAAGGCTTTTTGTGTCCTAAACTGTCTCCTCTACTTTTTTTCTCTCTAGATTAAGCAAGTAATTCTTATGTAGTTTTCTGTGGCTTCATTTCTCGGTTTATTCCTCAGTCTCAGTGAAAGGTTAAGCTCAATAAAGTAAGAATTCTCAGGCTGTGAATTTAGCAACATATGGAAACTGTAGTAGCTCAGCTGAAGATGCCAGGTGATTTATGGAAACTCCTGTGTTTAACAGCTTAGCTAATTGTTGCAGCAAAAGCTGCTTTAGCTGATAAAAACAAGATACTGCACTCGTGCAGTTCCTCTTCATGGGCATACATCATAGAGAGGTCAGAGAGAGAAGGTATTGAATTCCACATTACAGGCTGTCAAAACTGATTTGACAGGCTAGCTGCAGGCTTCCCTACTGCCATTCAGCAGCTTATTTAACTTGTTCCAGGGACTATAGCACAGGCATATGGGTGGCTGACTGTAATTTGACTTGATGCTGAGCTTGCTGATCTTCCCCTCAACTCTCCTTTCTAAATACAAAAATTCCATGAAGAAAAGCTCGGGTCTGTACTAGCAGGGAACTTGAGAGCTCAGGTAAAAACCCAAGCTTTTTCTCTTCAAGAATATAATTTGTTTTTCCCACAAATAGCTGCTAACCTGCCCTTAACTGTAAAGTGATTGATTCTACAGGGCAATCAATTTCCTTTAGGAGATATGAGGTGATGGGCAAATTTCTAGACTCAAAAGGCTGCCCAGAGCATACCATACAATCTTAGTGACCTGTAGATACCCTGAGAATAGCTGTCTCCAAGTTACATGTTTACAGGGCAATTGTTTACTCCTGGTCCCTGCAGGAGATGGACCTCTACCCAGGCAGGGAGAGCAGTGCAGCTCCACCCTGCTGTGCATCTTTGCAAAGGTAAGTGTTGTTTCTTTACAGTGAGGGAGGTGGGATTGATGTTTCTATGTTCTTATAGGATGCAAGAACCCTGAATGAATCTGCAATGTTTTTAATAGTAGTTAGCCAAGTTTCATAGGTCATAACTCTCCTACAAAGCAAGAGTGAAATCCCTGGTGGGGTTCAGCAGTTACCCAATAAGTAAGCTTAGCCCTTAGTTCATCCAAAAACCACTTAGGGGAGTGGTCCTTCCCTAAAAAAACATGTGTTGCTAAGAGAACTGCTACCAATGCTACAATTACTGCAGTCCTTACTGTTCTGAAAGAGCTGGTATTCACATGTGTGCAGCCTCTATTGTGATCCTTTACTGAAATGCTTGCAAGGCATTACTGGAATAAAGGATTAAAAGGGAGCTGCTGTGCATAACTAATATCTTGCCTGTTTAGAGTCCTCTGCCTGTGGACGCTGCTCTGAATGTACGCTGTTCTTTGCTGATGGGCCTAGCTACACTGGTGTGTGCAGGACATCAGGCACTTGCTAAAAGCTTCTCTCATCTCTAGGTTTGGTTTCTGGTTTACAGAGGAGTGAGAAGCTCTTAAACTGTCTGGACTGTCAGTAAACAAATGCAGCTGTGTATACCCACAACAGTACTTGCATTTCTTAACACTTGAGCAGTTCTAGGATTAAACATTAGACAAATTGAGGTTATTTTAGTAACTGAGTTAATACATGCTGCCTCAGGCCCTTAGGTTATTTCTTTAGGGGAAATAAAACACTGTATTTGGTTGCCACAGTAACCTTGCCTTGACATTACCTAGGTAGATTGCACTTGAAACTGTTGATCCTATAGCTCTGGGTCTGCATAGGAATCTAAACAGTGTCACTGAAAGAGGAGACCTTGGTCTTTGATAGTAAGGATCTTCCTTTCAGCTGTGACACTGTAGCAGGTTTCACTAGTTTTCAGCACGTCTAGCATCTAATTCTTAGTGTAATTACACTCTGTCTCTAGCTAATCCTTAAATATAGCTGCCCAAGTGACACATTTCACTACAGCTCTCTTCCTAGAAAGTAGGACACCATCCTACATGGCTTGCTGTCATTTGTAGTCTGACATTTTTTTGTTCTAGAGGAAGAAAACCCAGAAATAGAAATACTCTAGAAAGCAGCATGTCCTTTCATAAATCCTACATGTCTTGTCAGTCATAATCATTAAAAAAAAATTAAAAATCACACCATAATTTCAGTAGGAGTTGAGAAATAATAAAAAAAAGGGATACTGAAAGATTTGAAGGGAAGGTTCAAAGCTTGGTGGGAACAGTAAGTCAAATATAAGGGAGGTTAAGTCTCATCCTGGGCCTGGGACTGCAGTCTATTTTTGTCTATCTTTGATCTTCAGCTTTATTAGTATTGCCCAGGAGACCTTTCATTATAAAAACTGGAGCTGACTGCTATATGCCAAGCAACAAAGGGGTATCTTCACAGGTCTTTGTGGTTGCAATTTTTCTGTTTCACAAAGAAAGCAGAATCACTGGAAATATTTTAGATTGGGTTATCTGACTACTGTAACCTCTCCGGGGTGTAGATTTATATTTGTCCATGTAATGAACAATATGTTTAGGGCTGAAGGTCTTGCATGAGGCATTCCGTTTGGAAGAAACGGGGACAGAAAATATAAAATTAGTGGTCTGCAGATTAGGCCACTTATAATGGCTGATTTATGTTGAGATATAAGTTAATAATATAAAACAATCTATTTTCATTTCAATAGATCTGTTGTGGCCTGAAGGGAAGCATTCTCCTCTGTTGACAATTAGAGCTGATGGTGTTGGGGAAGGGAACAATATCTTTATTTATTTATTTTTAATTCCCTTTGTTAAATGTGTGGAACTTTTAAGCATGTTAGTAGAATGTCTTGACCAAGGCAAACAATCAGTGCTTGACTGCTGTTAAGTGCAAGAGGGTAAAGATAAATAAGGTTGTAAAAGCAACGAGGCAGCATGCAGGTTTAATTTAAATAGAAATGGCATGAGTTGCAGTAGCACTGGGATGCCCTCTTTCCTAATTTCTCTTCCCTGTTTATTTCTCAAACATCAGTCTAAGCCATTGTGGTGTGTTCTGGAAATATAATCCAGTATGTGGTCTGATATTTCAAAACTCTTAATGGGATTGTAAACTGACATCTGTTTTCCAACAGATGTTTTCCAGTCTTTCAAGTGGGAGCAATAATGATTCTCCTCTTCCCAAGATATATTAAGTGCCTATTTAAATCAGAAATCAGGTTGCATTCAGCATACAATGGTCCTGGTGACGTGATAGTCTAAGAATCATACCTGAGGCTCATCCTGTTGACAGGTGTATCCTTTCAGAAGCTATGAGGTGAAGAACAGAGTAAGCCAATAGGATTTATAACATGAAGAAAGAAGAAAATCCAGATGTTTGTGTCTCCTGTCCAGTGAATTCCCTGCAAAAATAGGGCAAACCCCTAATCTTTAGCTCAGAGGTGCCGTGCTAGTCAGTTCTTCTGTACGTGCAAGTTCTATGAGCTTAAAGAAGTAGTGATGGGCTGACAGAGTCCGTATGAAGTAGTGCTGCAATGCACTACTGCAGAGCACAGCTCTGGTGCCCAGAGCAACCCTGGCAAAGTGGTGTGAGAGGGACAAGTTTTCTTGCCTCACTTGAAAAAGTTGGGGCCCATAACAATGCTCCCTGCATCTTTTGTTTGTCCTTTGTCCTGTAATCTCCACAGCCAAGTTATGTGTAAGATCAGAATGAAACCCAGTAATGGTTTCAGTAGGACAAGTTTCATGATTGTTCCACTGAAATCACTTTCCAAACAACCCCCTCTCTCCCACCTAAAACAACCTGAACCCAACCCCCCATATCTCATTGTTTTATTGCTTTTTTTTTTTTTTTTTAAAGAAGGGCTGTTAATCTATATTAGATTCTGCCTCACAGTGGGAGGTGCTTTAACTAATGCTTTCTGTTTAATGAAGCCTAATATTTTTGTTTGCTATAGCTATTAGGAGCTAAAATCTTCTCTGGAGAAATCATGTGAATATTCCCTATTATTTGATACACAACTTTTCTCCCAAAGGATGTTATTCTACTTTTCCTCTCCACATTAAAGCATAATGAACAAAATGAACTTCTAGGGACTGTTCAGAAATGGCAGCCTGCACACGAGTTATAGGTAACATTATTCCTTCAAGCCTGTTCATTATAGGGAAGGCACTGTTTTTCGTTTACAAATCATCCCCTTCTCAATCTTCCCATTTGTTTTTTCAGCTGCTTCTACATTTCCACAGAACAAAGCTTTTGATGTTTTATATGTGGCTGGGGTAATCTGAGTAAGGTTATTTTTCCCCCCCTCCCCTTTCTTCAGCTAAAAATAAACCTCTACAGAAAAGGAGCCAAATATATGTGAATATGTTTGTGTGACTAAAAAAAAAAAATATTGAGAATATTTCACCTTCCAATCTAAAATCCATTCATACTAAGCACCTGCCTTTTGATACATCACTAATCACCTGTCCTGGTCTGTTTGTTAATTATTAAAATGGGAAAGACCAGACTATTTGTTCTCAGCTACTCCCATTTGATTGTGTCTTTTCTTTAGCTTGCTTACAAGAAAATTCAAAATGGAAGCATTTGGTCACAGGAAAGTGCCTCAGGCCATGATGCATTTTGGAAAAAGACATTTCTTGGCCCTGAGTCTCCTGGACACTTGTCCAGCTGGAGCCCTCTGAGCACTGGAAACCAAGGCAGCAGAGGGAGGGTGTGGGGGACACTGTGAAAGCCTGCCCATCTCCAAATATTCTGCCTGCAAAGGACATGGTGCAGGTGATAACTCCTCTCCCTGAGAAGTTTAACAAGAACTGAACTGTTTCCTTGCTCCTAACTTTGCTCCTATTTTAAGTATTTTATTTGTGAATCTGCCAGAAAGAAAAATTGTGTTGTGTCTCTTTGAAGTGTGTGTATGAGAAGGCTATCTATTTACAGTATCTAGGTAAAAAAGAAATAATTTTAGAGTATGTCATTGCTTCCTCCCCAGTCAAAGTCACTTTTCCCTTACAGGCAGAATTCCACTTGTAGGGGAAGAAATCAAGTTAGCTGTTAAATTCTTGTTTATTAACAT